GCATATTGAAGGTATACCTCCACTTAATTTACCAACTTTCTCATTTCTTATCCGATTTTCATCAAACTTGGTATGTATGTGTATAATTAAATTCTAAATTTGATGGAATTATCGAATTTGCGTAGTGCGCATGCGCATTGCCAACTTTCTTATTTATTATCCGATTTTCATCAAACTTGGTATGTATGTTTATAATCAAATTCTAAATTTGATGGAATTATCAAATTTGCGTAGTGCGCATGCGCATTACCAACTGTCTTATTTCTTATCCGAATTTCACCAATATACTTAGCGTGTCGCTATTGTTTAAATGTAAAATGACGCATCTTCACCCTACCAATGACGTAGGACTTTAACCGTTCATTACGTCTTTCGAATACCTGCTATTGTTCTAAATCTATTTTGAACATAATTTTTGTTTTGTTGATAACTTTATACTAATGTCTAAAAGATAGCAATTTAAGAAATTTCAAATTTTGACTTTTGTCGCTGACTTTTGGAGATTTTATTTAAAGCATTTTTTAAACTTCCCAAATTTTATTGCGATCGATCTGACAATTTACATGTAGATAAACATTTTGATTGCGAACAAAAATATGCTTTCAAAATTTAGATATCACTTCCGGTTTTGACGTCATTCGCCTCCAAACTTCAAATTTCAACTTTTGTAGATATTTGAAAAATTCTTTTTGCAATTAGTTATAATTGTCCCCGTAAAGATTTTGGAATGACAAAATTTGACCCGGATGTATTGTGTAAGACGCCATTTTGATATGACTCACTTTTATAAAACTCAAAATGGGGCCTCAGGGTAAAATTGGATGTGCGTAAATTTGATGTTTATGTAAACTGCAATCGATTGCTAACAAAACATGGGAAGCCGATTTTTGAATTTTGGCTTTGTATTTTTTTTATTTCCGGTTTTATGTTTTCAGTAATTGTCAAAACTATTAAGTCTTATACCTAGTGACTTTGACCTTTGGTGACCTTGTGACCTGAACAAAAGTTGTTGCCTCTTACGAAATTTATCCGATTATATCTCCACTTTTGTTGTGCATCGTTAACTTCCGGTTCTACAGCCATTGGAAAATCGCGATTTTTAACTTTGAAGAGCTCTGTCACGTGACCTAATTAACATACGACAAAAATTCTTATATATTCTTTGAGTGCATAAAATTTCCTTTTGGTGATATATCACAATTGACATTTTGATCAAAATTGTGCGTTTTAAAAATTGAAAATTTTGTACCGACTTCTATAGTAACTGTGCGTAAATTCACGGTGTCTATAATCTACCGATAGTCACCGTTGCCTTAAAAAAACTTTTAACCACGAACATGTCATGATCTAATGATTGTAAACACTTGAAATTTTGAACATTATTTAACAATGTACACATCATCACAGACAAATTGAAATTTTTGAAGTAGGCGTGGCACATCCGGTGTGCATTTACCGTTACCTGAAATATTTGCATTTGTTACAACTCGCATAGTTTGCAATTTTCACCCTAAAAATTTTGCATGAAAATAGATCACTACTTAGGACAATTTGTGATAAGATTACAGTTGTTTACGTTCTTCACTTTAAAAAAGGGAATAGGTTTAACAATTTTGTAAAATTTTCATTTTTGATTTTTAACATAAATGACATGGTCAAAGGTCATTGACTAAGGATGACCATTCTTACCTTGATCTTTGATGTCCGATATATACTACCGGTTTTGCAGACGTCCAAAACAGCAATTTTCGAAACTTCAAAGGCTCATATTACTTTTATTTGACATTTGTTGACATTTTGACCTGAACAAAAGTTGTTGTCCATTACGAGATATATCCGATAATATCTTCACTTTTGTTGTGCATCGTTAACTTCCGGTTCTACAGCCAATTAAAAATCGCGATTTTCTAACTTTGAAGAGCTCTGTCACGTGACCTAATTAACATACGACAAAAATTCTTATATATTCTTTGAGTGCATGAAATCTCCTTTTTGGTGATATATCACACTTGATATTTTGATCAAAATTGCGCGTTTTAAAAATTAATAATTTTGTATTGACTTCTATAGTAACTATGCGTAAATTCACGGTGTCTATAATCTACCGACAGTCACCGTTGCCTTAAAAAAAACTTTTAACTACGAATATCTCATGATCTAGTAATTGTAAACTCTTGCAATTTTGAACAATATTTAACAATGTACACCTCATCACAGGCAAATTAAAAATTTTGAAGTGGGAGTGGCACATCCGGTGGGCATTTACCTTTACCTGAAATATTTGCAATTGTCATAACTCGCAAAGTTTGCAATTGTCATCCTAGAAATTTTGCATGAAAGTAGATCACTACTTATGACAATTTGTGATAAGATTACAGTTGTATGCGTTGTACGCAAAATTAAAACACTATTGGGACAATAATTGATAGAGTTACATTTTGTTTATGCCTTTTACTTTAAAAAAGGGAATAGGTTTTACAATTTATAAAATTTTGATATTTTGGCCATTTACATGCATGACCTTGGTCTTTAGAAGGTCAAAGTTTATTGATCTCTATGACCATTCATACTTTATCTTTGATGTTCGACATATATTTTCGCCTTTACAGACGTCCCAAAACATGAATTTTCAACACTGTTAAGGCTTATATCTCTTTTATTTGACCTTTGTTGACCTCCTGACCGTAACACAAGTTATTGTATCTGACAAGACCTTTCCAAAAATATTTCCATTTTTGTTGTGCGATTTGTTCTTTTAACTTTACAGCTATTTGAAAATTCGACTTTTTACTACCGAATGTTAACACCTTTTAGTACCGAACGGTATCAAATCCATCCGTCTTTTCACTACCGAACGTTAAACGGTTTAAACGATTTTTTTTTACTTTTAAATGTTTACATGCTTTTCTTTCCGGTAAGAAATCTCATTGTGAATTTAAAAATGCAACGTGTTATCGATGTATCAGGTTGGATGCGCACTGCTTCGGTGCCGTTATAACGGTTCTAGTTGCAGGGCGTTCCTAAGCGAACGCCCTGCTTTGTTTTCGTAACGATTATTTTTTTTTTCGTCAGCTAGGGAGCTTATTTCTCGGAACCAGAAATAGGTACGACAAAACGGACTTCATGACGTTTTCTAACTCGTGGCTATTCACGTATTAAATGTAAAACGAAAATGTTCTGCGCAACCGGAAGTGAGATAGCAAAAAACCGGAATGGACTGTAGAGGGCGTATTTATCGTTCGATTTTTCTCGGGTTTCCTTTATTATAATTCTTAGTACGAAGGACATATGATAGCAGTTGAAAATATTCGATTTTCCAAAATTCGTTCGATACCTTTTTTTTGTCGAAATTAATCGAAACATGCTATTTCGGTTGCTTTTTGACGGATCATTTGAAATTTTTAAGACGTAGACCGTCGGTATGGGCAAATAATTCTGCATAGTCAAAAAATGTTCATCACTTCCGGTTTCGATATTAGTACTTCCGGTGGCATCACTTCCGTTTAAATTGAGTTATGTCAGAAATGACATATGCATAAGCTTAGTGTCACTAATACAAAGTGTTACAACTAAAAAAATTCGTACCGGAAGTAACATATAGGTCGCCATATTGGTTTGCCTCAATATGCAAAACTTGCTATTTTGGAGCTATTTATTATCCGATTTGAACAATTTTGGTGTTAAATGATAGAATTAACGTTTATCTAAAACTTGTTGAGGACAGAATTTTGATTTTCGGTTTTGCCTTTTTTGTACGACCGGATATTTTTTTTCAAAGTTTGAAGGCGTATATCTCATGACCTTGACCTTTGGTGACCTTCATATTTACTATGATGATAAATTGTGACCTTGAATATCTGATGACCTTTTGACCTTTGGGGTCAGACAACCATTTTCGATTTTATAGGGGTTTAAAAATGATCCATTTTGAACCTTTGCAGTGCTGTATCTCGTAGCCTAATAGTGATATAGCAATAATTCTTTCGAATTCATAATGCTGAGATTCTGAGCTTAACAGTGATATACAACATGTCTATGTAACATGCATATTTGAAAATTACATTCGTTTAACATTGTGGTATCAAATTTAAGTTGGTTAATGAGATGTCAGTATAGATAAAATTCCTGAGTTTGACATGTCCGTTAAAGTACCATTCTCCCCAATTTCTATCAGAAAGTTCGTCAACTCCAGGCACTTTTGGATATTTGCATTTAGAGATGCAGAAAAGTACTTACATCAATGTAATTGCAATAGACCAACTTCGTATGTACCCGAATGTCGTAACACGCCCTGCATCAGTACTGTTATTAGTACAGTTCTAGTTGGTATTGATTTTTAAAAATTTGGTGGAATTTCTCCACATAAATAACTGGCATATATATATTTAATTAAATTCAAACTAATACAATTTCTTTAATATGAGAAAATTCATACTTTAGTCACTATAGACTGTTAGACTTGCCTGGCAAGCTATCTTTAAAGTATAGTACTATATATATTTAGATCATCCGTTCTTGGGGATGTATATCTAATATACTAACCTCTTTTTAAAATGACGTACGCGAAGGAGACTTTGTAGTTGACGTTATGATTATGTATATTGAAGTGATCTCGAATGCGTTTTTTTTTTTCGTATTTTCGATGAATGGTTTTTGTGTTATTGCCTTTGACTTACAAATTACGTAACAAAAATTACTTTTGAATGTGATAAGAGTCCAAAGCTTCGCCCGACTTTATTAATAAACTTGATATTCTAATGCATATTGATGACATCTGAGATATCGATTTTCACGAATTATCTATGAACGATTTTTAGCTATCGCTTTTAGCAAAATACATCAACACTGGGTTGTGAATCTAATGGAGATATTTTTGATGAATATTTTTTTGTTTTATTACCAAATTGTCGAGGCTTATATACATCTCGGAATGTATTATAGATTCATATTGATAATAAGAATTGGTAATAACGAACCGATATTTCTTTTCGTCGTTTCAGGTTTTTCTTTGACTACATTTATTTTGGTAACTTGTTACATCTGGAAACCAACGAAAGACGATGCCATTTTGTTATTGCTTTTTATAGCATTATGGGGTGTTACAGATGGTGTCATGCAATCACAGATACAAGGTGGGTATGCTTAGTATGATATGAAATAGAGAGATATATTTTAATCCAAAATTGGCAATAATCTTGCTGAAGCACTCGATTCCAACCAAGTCCTCAGTGGTGTAAATTACCAATCAGAAGGCAGTTTTTTCACTGTCAATATCCACAAAGTAATATTTATATTGGTACTGTTCAAGATATCTCCAAATTGTACTTCAACAATATGAAGACTTTCTCTGTTTGGAATCTCACCACAGTATAAATAGTGTTGGACTATTCAAAGACTTGAAAGGAGACAGAATTTGTATGGATGAGGTTAAATAGGATTTTATGACCTTTCCTTGAATGTAGTTATACCTTATTTTTCGTGTGTATGAAAAGACGAGCAAGCTTCAAGCATTGTCTGTCCAAGCAATAGAATCTAAAGGGTTCAAAGTTCTAGGGTAGATTGGTAGACCTAAACCAATGAACCAATGATAACTTTGTAGACTGAACAATCTAGAGAATAGGTATGTTCGTCCCATGGCTATAAAACGAAGTTAGAAATAATCTGGTTTGCCCATGTCAATCATTATCCCTGTAGGAAAGGACAGCTAATGTGCCATTGACAAAAGATTCATGTGTACATTCCCAGTAAGAAAGGCAATAAAAGAAAGGATTTCGCGGTTTTCTATCAAGACTTAAGATAGATTCCTTTTGAGACGAGGTAATCCTTTTCTTGATCAATAGATAGTAATAAGAATAGCTTCTGGGAGATTTCATTTCTCTTAAATTACTGGTTCCAGTGTAAATATTGTTAATTTATAGTGACATCGTATTACATTACATCAGGATCTCTTGACGCTTGTAATTATCAATAGAATAACTGACTATAATGTCTATATTAACCTTTATTCCCTTGGATATCAAAAACCATCCTACATAGCTTTTCACAGATAACATTTTTATCGTATTAAATTGCTATGATAAAGAAGGCAGCTCGTGGGTATTGTCGAGTATAAAATCTGATATTTTATCTGGAATCGGTCTGTTTTATATTAGAAATACATTTTATAACGATAATACTTCTATGAGTCACGTTTTGTGTAGCTCATGTGGTTGGGTATTATTTTTTTATATGACATGACATCTTTCATGACCAGACATGTTTGTTACGAAAATGCCAATAAATATCAAAAATTATCAAAAGATGCCATGGCTCAATTCAACGAGCTTTTATTATACTGACTTGCGTAATACGGCCTCCAAAGCAACTAGCTCGTTCCTCCAATTCCACCTTCCGATACATAGTATGACATTTTGTCACAGGAGACTATGTAGATAAAATCTACCCAGAATAGATGGAAATTAAAGACAGCACTGATTCTAAGACTAAAGTGTGCTACTTGGCGTTGCTTCTCAAGTTGTCAACAACCACGATTTCTGTCAGACTTTAATATAACAAACTTTGATTTTCCCATAGTAAATTTTCCATTCATGTGCAGTAACATATTAAAAGATTATGGAGTATACATTTCACACAACTCATCCGCCATGCTAGGGCTTATACTATTTATGAGGACTTCCTACCTTGGGGTAGTATTAACTTTGAAACTCCATACAGCATAGCATCGTGATATAATGCTACATCTTATTATATATTCTTCATATCATACACTCAAATAAACTATACGTTTTTATTTTCAGCTGCCTTGTCGGCTTATTTTGGACGCCACAAATCAACAGCAATGGCAGGTTACAGAATATTTCAAGGATTTGGATTAGAAGCCAGTTTTCTGTTGTCGTTATTAGTTCGTGATCTTCACATATCATTATATATGGCTATGTCTTTACATATCTTATCGTGTTTAGGTTTAGTGTGGATAGCTCGTTCTAAACGTGCTGCTCGACCATTACCAGGAGCTGTGACCACAGAGCTTCAATCTTCATCATCATCCATCATCACACAACCAGCACCTTACCCTGACGTACCGTTAGAAGAACATGCGTGATTAATTGAATTTTGTTTTAATATTATTATATGGTTCAAGTGGTTGCGAAAATGCTCAAAGAAAGACATTCTGCTTAATTGTCGGTTGGTTCTATTGTTCTTTGTTGGTATATGTCTTGTATACCAATTACTGATTGTAAGCCATTCCAGTGCTTTATTACACAACTTCTATATTGTTTTTAACCTTAATTGAGAATTGTGATTGTTTTCCTTTGGGAACTGTCATAGATTACCAAAGTACAGATGTTGGTAAATGTCAGATCTGTAATTACATGTATATTGTATTTTGTTTCTGGTGTAAAAATGAATTTCATAAATATTACCTTTATTACATGTTTTAGCTTCTTTAAAAATGGGAAAAAAGACTTCCATTTAACTAAGAGAGAGTTCTATGTAAGATAAATATAACAATCAAACAATGGTGTGCCAAGTTGACAGACACAGTTGCATAGCGGTATCAGATGTTTCGGAAGAGTGAGCAAACAGAATGTGCAATTCTATATAAACTTCGGATTTGGACATAAGCTCTAAACATAAAGGTCCTCTATATGGTTACAAGAATATAATAACCTTACGGAAAGGTGCAAGAAATCTCATAAGGTTCATTTATAATCCAAAATCAGGATAACAAAAAGCTAAAATAAATCCAAACGTAACGTATCAGAGTGCTGTAAGCTACTTTACAGAAAAGTATCATATAACAGAATACTGTACAGATCTTGATTACAAAGCAGAATACTGTACAAATCTAAACACGTGACCTAATAAACAGAATACTGTACAGATCTAAACGTGTAACATATAACAAATACTGTGAAGATCTAAACGCGTGACATATAAGAGTATACTGTACAGATGTAAACACGTGACACATAACAAAATACTGTTCAGATGTAAACGCATGATATATAACTAAATGCTGTACAGATCTAAAAGCGTGACATTTAACAGAATACTGTACATATCCAAACGCGCTACATATAACAGAATACTGCACAGATCCAAACGTGCTACATTTAACAGAATACTGTACAGATCCAAACGCACTACATGTACCAAAATACTGTCTAAACGCATGACATATAACATAATACTGTACAGATCTTAAGTCGTGTAATATAACAGTATACTGTACAGAAATAAACGCGCGACATATAACAAAATTCTGTGCAGATCTAAACGCGTGACATATAAGCGTATACTGTACAGATGAAAACACGTGACTTATAACAAAATACTGTGCAGATCTAAACGCGCTACATATAACAAAATACTGTACGGATCAAAATACATGACATAATAAACAGAATACTGTTAAAATTTAAACACGTGATATAACATATTACTGTACAGATCTAAACACATCACATATAACATAATACTGTACAGATCTAAACACATCACATATAACATAATACTGTACAGATCTAAACACATCACATATAACATAATACTATACAGATCTAAAAGCATGACATAGAAAAGAATACTGAGCAGATCTAAACACGTGACATATAAGAAAATATTGTACAGATCTAAACACATAACATATAACATAATACTGTACAGATCGTCAATATACCAGAAGGGAAGAGCAGAGTCAGTTTGTAAAAAATTGTTTTGAGGGAGAGTCGTGGGATTTGCTTCATTTCGATAACTCTTTGTAGGGTCTAGAAGTATCAATGAAAACAATTTGATGGTAATAACAACCTGGAAACCGGAAAGACTTTATTTTTTAATTGTAAAGGCACACAATTGCACAACATTTTAAAATAAAAAAAAAAGTTTAGATTAAGCTAATATGTAGACAAAGTCCTTTATTTTGTGATGTCAGTGTAAAACTAAACGAGCTTCTACATTGAAAGTTACGGTGGAAGGTCTACTATGATGAAAACTTGTATCAGTAATGAATAATAAAAGATGTCTTACATTCAACTCTTGACAAGTGAACATCTTCAATAAAACTAATTTTCTTTCGTGTTTTTCTCTCTAGTTAGACGACAAGATCTGCTAATGGGCAAAAATAGTAATCTTAGACTGTTCCTATACCTAATTAATGGAACTGGGCCATCATTTGATGAGTGGTATCGATTACCAATAGGCCTAAATATTAGTACTTTTGTTACTGTAGTATTACGTCAGAATTAGATACAAGTCCAGTGGGGGATTCAAACAGATAGATTTTATTCTGAATAATTACCTGCCAATCGACAAATAATTCATAACTTTGTCAGTTTGTAAGCTGTATGTAATATGTCAAATCGGAAAATACCACAGACGAAAATCACAGTACTGTTTCTGAGGCTAGACATCCTATTGATCTTCTATTGACAGAACAACTTTAAAGGAACATTGTCTTCTATCCATTTGTAAACATTTGTTCTTTACCTATAGTCCATTTAGACTTTGATGTCGTGAAAACATTTAACGTAGATAATCTGTCATTAAATCTCAAAAATTTTAACTGGAAAGGGTCTTCCAAAAAAAATATTCAACGATGATTTCATAAAATACGGTTCATATTGTGTGTGGAAAGAATAAAAAGTATTAGATAATACTATATTAAATTGGTATTTCTTGATTATTGTCCAAGGTAAACCATTGACCAAGCTGTCCGATTTGCTATGCACTAAATGATAGCTGTAGTCCCCTTCATACCATCTCCCTTATTGTTCAAATTAACCAAACTTGCTTCCGTATTCACAATCGCATCAATCTTCAATTGTTCAAGTATGAGATCTTAGCTCAACCAGAATATGAACTAAAACCCAAATGAAAACAATAAAGTATTATAAGATATAGACGTTGCCTTATCTTGTATGGCATTCATATCCAGTCATTATCTACTTATAAACAAACAAAAATATCAGTGGCTCAACTAGATGAATTGGGATCCATGGATTTAAGTAAGTTTGGGCTCCTCCCTCGGGAAATTTTTGCGTATCTGCATTCTTAGGTCCCTCTTAATTTAAAGAAAGATTTAAAGATTTTTGGTCTGTATTTAATGCATTTCGCTCATTTATATTGCTGGGTGCTTCTAACCAGTCATTTTTTTCAAATAAGGACATGGTTCTGAACCATTTAACATTGTGTGTTAACCTTTTGAATACTTCATTTTTTCTGCGATGGGGGTACTTGGACTTGTTTCCTATGGTCGTATACTATGGTAATATTCGACCTACAAGTTGTCTGAAGAAAATATGAATCAAGTTATATTTTACCATATTTGTGTTCGAAAGTAGTAGAAAATGTTCCTTTAAAGTGCCATGTGTCAATTAATACTCTCCAGTATTGATTACGAGATACTTGGTGCATCGACTTTTAGTTTAAAAGATGGGAGATAGAGCTATTTAATATTATCTAAGATATGAATATATATAGCCTACAGAAAATTACAGGCTTTTGATTTCTTTCAGTCCACTTTGAAGGAGTACACATACCCTGTAAAATACAAATAATGGCGTTTTGATATCGAAGTAAAACGGGTTTTTAAGTTAATGATTGTAAAATTTCACTATATTTCGTTAAATCGATATCACTTTATGAACACGTGTTCGCATTAACCATTTGATTAATCTGTAGCAAAGTTGAAATGACCTTGCTACTTAAAGCATCGTCGTGTGGATTATTGTTGTCAGAAAGGCTCTAATTCTTCACTGAACTATAATTTGAAGAAAATAAGTTTTAATTATGACCATATCAAATCGTCAGATTTGACGCAAACATAAGGTGTAGTCAGTGGCTATAATGCTTCTTGGAATACACCTTTTATTCGCGTCCCAAAATCCCAGTGATGGAGAGGGGAGGAATATGATTGGCTAACAGTTGCATCAAACAGATGGATGTTCAAGAGGCCCGTTATAAACCCTAAATTAAAGATAAAAGCTAATAAAAAAAAATGGAACAAAAGTTCTAGATTCTACATTCTGAATTGTGTAGGCTGCATCTACTGGTGTTTATAGGGTATGCTAACATTCTAGATCGTGTTGACTGAAGATGGTTAAAGAGCCCACTAACATTTCAGATCCTGTTGACTAAAAATGGTTAAAGAACATATTAACATTCCAGATCGTGTTGGCTGAAGATTGTTAAAGAACACACTAACATTCTAGATCGTGTTGGCTGAAGATGGTTAAAGAACACACTAACATTCTAGATCGTGTTGGCTGAAGATGGTTAAAGAACACATCAACATTCTAGATCGTGTTGGCTGAAGATGGTTAAAGAGCACACTAACATTTCAGATCTTGTTGACTAAAAATGGTTAAAGAACACATTAACATTCCAGATCGTGTTGGCTGAAGATTGTTAAAGAAGACACTAACATTCTAGATCGTGTTGGCTGAAGATTGTTAAAGAAGACACTAACATTCTAGATCGTGTTGGCTGAAGATGGTTAAAGAACACGCCAACATTCTAGATCGTGTTGGCTGAAAATGGTTAAAGAACACACTAACATTCCAGATCTTGTTGGCTGAAGATGGTTAAAGAACACATTAACATTCTAGATCGTGTTGGCTGAAAATGGTTAAAGAACACACTAACATTCCAGGTCGGGTTGACTGAAAATGGATAAAGAACATGACTGAAAATGGATAAAGAACACACTAACATTTCAGATCGTGTTGGATGAAAATGGTTAAAGAACACACTAACATTCTAGATCGTGGTGACTGAAGATGGTTAAAGGACAAGCTTATATTCTAGATCGTGTTGGTTGAAGTTCTGAACAATTAAACATAAATTCCACATCGTGTTTGCAGAAATGATTGAAAACAGAAGCTTTTTATATATAATCATATATCGTAATGGTTTTAGTTTTAAAAAAAATCTAAATCACAGAAGTTAATGAAATGATAGAAATTTTTTATCTAGATCATGTTTAAAGATAAAATCTTTGGAAAAAACAGAACATAATATAATGAAGTACAATGTATTACTTAACAGAAAAAATTCATTTTTTCTACACTTGAAATGCTTCATGAAAGGATCATGTAACAG